TGGTGCGAATATTCATAAAACCCGGAGCAGATTCAATTAGAAATAGAATGCCTGATTAGTGCTACCCTCTAGGAGGTATTAGAACAAACAAAAAATAAAAACTCAAAGAAGTAAACATTTAGAAAGCGTTTTAAACGTTTAAAAGTTTTAAAACGTAGAAGAATGCTTGAGGCGTGTTACGGTTGCCCTGAGGAAGTTTCACTTGAACGCGCTAGATGCGCTATGTCCGACAAAGAGGTTAATTTGCATTAATTTTTTTTTTATTTATTTATTTTACAAATATCTCTTATTTTTCCCTTGGAATTTTTTTCAACTTAACCGTATCATATTTTATTTATCATAATTTAAATATTTCGGTGGATACCTTTATGCTTTGAATTTTTTGCCAGATCATTAGCTTTTGGCAGTATCTGAATCTGATCCCGATAACAGAACATTAATTTTAACAGATACATTATATTAATATGTATACATTTTATGATAGATTAAAAATATTTTAAGGTATTAAATCATACTGCTATAATATGCAGTGTATTAACAAACACATAGCACAAGCAAATGATGCAGTATCAGAAAATTAGCAAAATTGCATTAACATAAATTTCAGTAGCACAGGTTTGCCAGAAGCAGCAAACGTATGAAAAATCGCATGATCTGGCAAAAATGCAGGGAATTAAAATTGCACTGAATTTTTCATATTTAAGAAAATCTTCATCAGCTAATCCATAAATGAGATTCAGTAAGAACTTTTACTTTTAAACATTTTAATTATCATATCACAGATGTCAGTCTTCAAATAATAAAATCAAGGAGTTTTGGATGGATTTTGAGCTGCATGATAATGTTGTTTCCAAATTTACCTTAATTCACTTTATTCAGGTTATTGAACTATTTTTAATGCAATTCTAAAGTAAAATATATTACAATTCAATTAGATATTTTAAATTTTATGTTCTCTGGTTAATTTTATATTATAGTTATCTTAAACTTTTATGCTGACTTGGAAAAAAGAGTTTTTTTATTTTTAAATACTATGAAAATAAAATTAACTAGCAACACACACACTAGTTTTACTTTTACACTGCAGAAGAGGTCTGCTGATCCTACGACTATAAAAGTTGCCTCACAGCATTATTGTCCTCCTTGCAGAAGCGATCTAATGCTGCTGTGCTCCCTCTGCAGGAGAGCCAGCAGAACAGACTGCTACAAACACATGATGAAAATGAAATTCACAAGGCTATTTACAGCAATGCATAAGTCTTCACAGGCTATACAATCTTGTGCTAATCACCGACTAAGTGAGATCACTAATGGTCCTGTATTCAAATAGAGATTAAATTTAGGACTTAACAAGCACAGTTACAGTATTACAATCTAAGATACATGAGACTGCATTACAGATATATGACTTAACATTTAGAATACTTATCATATATTATACCACTTTTAGGCTAACTTTACAGAAGATTATTGAACAATGCATTGAAGGTGCTATTAATATCACTTACGCTATTGAATGAAGAAATTATGATAATAGAATTGAACAAGTTAATAATTACAATACAATTGAAGCGAAGACTGAATTCTGTTGTAACAATAAGCAGCAAAATGAAACAAGAGTTATACATAGATGCAGAGTGCATATAAATGCAATTGCAATTGAACACACACAAAAACAAACAAACAAAAAAAAAAAAAAATGTATGCAGGTACTATTGAAAGAGGTTCTTATACTATTAATGATACTTTGTGTAATGAGGCTTACTGTTGTGCTTCTGCTTTGCAGAGTGTCATTACATAGGCTTACAAATCATAGAGACTTATAATGTTCTGAGAAAAATGTGTGCATAACTACTTTGTTAATTTTTGATCATGCAAGATACCAAGTGCTAGGTTGCCCTGTTGTGCCCACTTACAACCGAGTTTTTTGTTGAACAGTACATAATAAGTTTCCTCAGCTTTATTCTGGCTATGTCGTTCTTAATCAAATTTTCTGCCCATTGGGGTCGAAATTGCTGACTTGGTTTCTTTTGATACACACACTACTGTACTGATAAACTTTGTAATGTACAGATGTGAAAAAAAAAAAAGGAAATACAAAAATTAACCGATTAAACATTGGTGAAATTTTAATAAAAAAAATTCTACGACCAACTACAGTAGATAATGATAATTCAAATCAAGAAAATTCAATAGAAAAATTATGCTGAAAATTCTGAAGGTAGAGAAAATGGAAACTGCAGAATTTAAGTTTCACTAATTCAATAAAATTTCCATTACTTTCCTTGGTAGTTTTTTTAAATAAAAGCTAAAATTAAAAAAAGGGGGGCAGCGGAAGATTTGATATTCTACAAGACTTGGGAGAGCAGGTAGCTATGTTATAGGTAACTTTTAATCTTTTTGGCCCTGCTGGTGATGTTTGCCACCTTCATACGCACAGTTCTATTTTATCGATAGCGATTTTTTTATTTCCTCGTATGAAGTAAAGGAACTATTGTAATTGTGAAAAATTTGGGGTATCATATTTCAACGAAGATATCCATTTTGACCACTCTTGAATCCATTTGAATGATGTTTTTGCATGACACGTGCAAGTATGAACAGAATAAAGGACTCTTTTTTAAAAAAAAAAAAATGGATTATAAAATGGATTCAGAAGACACTGAATTTTTACTTCCTTGTACGAAGTAAAAAGGAAGTATTGTATTCGCGAAAAATTTTGGGTATCATATTTCAACGTAAATATCGATTTTGACCGCTATTCAATGCAATTTAATGATGTTTTTGCATGACATCCGCAAGCAAGGACAGAATAAAGGAATCTTTTCCCCCCAAAAAATTATAAAACTGATTTAAAATGAATTCTGAAGAGAATTTTTCGTGCTGTCTGTGCGTACGTGCGTATCTTCCATAACTAAAAAATGAGTAGCCTCAGAACGTCGAAATTTTGTACGTAAGACTGCTATAACATCTAGATGTGCACCTCGTACTTCGGTTGCAATCAGCCACACAAAAAGTATATAAATCTAAAAAAACTAAGCTTCGCAACAACAAAAATTACGGCTTCTTTTATTATTGTGAATTAAATCATACTTAATCCATTCTGGAATTTATTTAAGGAAATAAGTGTTTCAGATTCACTTTGTAATTTTTAATATAGATATTTTGAGTTTTTATGTATTTTTGCCTTGTTGGGAAGTGAGAACTGGATGAGAAATACTGAATAGTCTGTGAAAAACTTTTCTTTTTTGTTTTGTTTGCTTAATTTCCTTTATACATCGTTTTAGATTTATTACAGTATTTGAATAGACGCATTTGGCAACGATTAGACAATTCTTCAAATGATATAAATTTATATACATTCTGAGTTATAATATCGATGAAATATAACGCTATTAAGTGAACCTAGCACCAAAGTGTCGCTATGGTAAACAAATATAGTGAATTTTAAAAAGTGCATTTATTCTATTGTGGTGTATGCACCATCAACGATGTAGATTTAATTCAATCCAATAAGTTTAAATGAAATGCAAGAGAAAACGCATATAATTTAATATTTCATGCAAGGAAGTCATGTGGTGTACACATCAGATTTTTTTTTATTGACATCTGTACACACATATGTATGTATGCATCTTGCATAACCTTTTGAGGCCGGGACTTTGGTAGCAGTAAAAGCTACCAAAAGACAGGAAATCTTGAACTGAATGCTTTCCCCCCGTTAAGAAATCACCTCCTATTTTCAACAAAGATTCTTGTGTAGTTTAATGGATTCTCAGAGGGGTGCATCTATGTCGCAAAAGGGAGATCTTTGAAAGAGATAAGTGGTGAAAACCCAGGGACGTCAAATTTGACATTTCACCCCACTTTTCAGCCTGTAAAATGGGGGGAAAAGACATGGCCAATAAAGTGGACAACCCCGTCCATTCAAACAGGGAATACAACTGCCAATATATTGGCCATCCATCTACAAAAGGTTAATTCAAAAATGGGTAGCTGTAGAATGTTGAAATTTTGTATATGGGGCTGCTATAACATGCATTTTGTGCAACTCCCTTTTTTTATAGCAAACCATCACATAAAACTTGTGTGTGTATATTTATATATATAGCCACTCTGTTACCCATCTTGGTGAGGCCAGTTTTTTTTTATTCTCATAAGTTGCTAAATTGTGCATTTTTTGCATAAAAGTGATTGAATTATGTTGTTCTTATGTTCCGGTTAAGGTTTTCATGCCTTTAGTTAGTCTGCATGCAATAGTTGTAGAATTCTTGCCTAAGCTCTTTTCCTTCTTTTTCATAAGAAGGAAGTGCCACTAATGTTATGTTAATAGTTGTAGAATTATCAACAATTTAAAAGTGGTGCTAAGCCTAGCAAGAACACCATTTGTTTACATTTGAAACTTATTAAAATAGAGAATTAACAGTAAATTTAATTGTAATTTTTTTTTACTGCTTTCAATTGCATTTGTTTTTTAGGTTTATCTGTATTTTACAATTTTTAATAGAGTTTTTATGCATTTTTGCCTTGCCGCAAAGTGAGAATTGAACTGATTGAATTAGAAATATATTTCTAATGAAATTTGAGGAAATAGGTTTGGATGAAGTGAAACAAAATATGTGTATTATTTAATAGGCCATACAAGGAAGTTTACGAGATTATTTTCTTATTAACTGTCAAAGGGCTCATCTGGTGGCTTGTCTAGATGTGTTTTATCACACAACTGTTTATTTTTAGACTTGATAGTGGCAATTGCTATGACATCCAGATTTCTATGACTCAGTATGAACTTGTAAGTATATTACTTCTACATAATATTTTGCGGACTCCCCACCCCATCTCAAAAAGGTCTGGGCTTGAAAGGGTTAAGGTAAAATGATAAATAATTGACAATAAACTTAAAAGAACAGTTTTAGCTTTTCAAGATAAGCAATGAGATTAACTAGTTTAAAAACAGATATTAGCATTACAAGTTTAGGTTTAAAAATTGATATTCTTACCTTTCCCGTGTGGAGATTATACCTAGATTTAACAAGTTGAAACTTAAACTTCAGAACCTCAAGTTCTTCACTGCAATAAATATTACTCTCAATATCATTCAGGAAATGAGCTGATAAGTCCAAATACCCTAATCTGATGAAGAAATTCAATAATGATAGACAAGCAATAAATCTACGCTCTTTATCTCCCACAGTAGATGAAATTTCACATAAAAGAATCCATGCATTGAGTTCATTTAAATCCTGTGGGAAGAAATATACAAAACAGTTAAAAATTATATACCACTTTTAAAATTTTATATATTTAAAAAAAAATTATAAACCAAAAATGTATTTTTTATAAACATAAAATTTATTTTTTTATAAACAATTCTTTATAAGTCAAAAAAATTAATAAATAAAGCTACCAAATTAGGTAACTAAAGTAACATAATTTATATTTTTCCTTAACACAGTTGCTCACATCACAAATTATTCACAATATACATATTTTAATTCAATAATAGTATACAATTTAATAATTAACAGTATTCACATTTTTACAAAACTGTAAAATGAGCTTGTCTGTCAAATAATATCAACTTGATGTCCTTTTGTAACCATTCTTACTGAACAGAAATCAGAACATTAACATTTTTATTATGCTCAAACCTGTACAACAGGGATTCCCAATCTTTTGCTTATATTGTAGCCTTTTCAAAAAAATTTATTTCTTCATACTGAGAAGCAATCTCCAAACTTTCTTGATAGAGTTCCCTAAGACTGAAATAATTATAGTAGTACTCCATGTAATATAATACAGTACAATATATAACATAATATAATGCAATGTATTGGCAATTCTGCAATTACGACATTCAGCTTCTCAGACACAAGTGAAACCAGAAACTGAAGTCAACGAGCCTCGTACTCATATGACACATGATCATACATTTTCAGTAGGTTGTAAGCCTACTTCTTTGTTATACAGTCAAAAGTCGTTAATTTGGACACCCAAAAATCCGGAATGATCTATAATCCGGACCTCAAAGCTACAAACTTTCTGCGCATGCGTCGCGCTAACGCGCATAGGTGTTTACACGTGACGCGCATAGGCATTTACACGAGCATGTAAGACCTTTACGGCTGCGAATATGCGTGTGCGCAAGCGCATAATACGTTTACGCATGTGCGTTTAATGTATAACGGACAGTATAAGCTAAGCTAAAATTATCTAATTCAGTTAATGTTGCAGATTGCATTGTTCCTTAATCTTCGAGTTGGATCCGCCTTATTATTTTTTTGCAGACTGTTAGAGCAATTTTATAAAAGTAAGCTTGAACTTTCGATTATGTCAAATAGAATTTCTGATATATATTTACTAATATGTAAAGGATCTTCAAAGCGAAAGTATGTTTTGAAATCCGAAATCTGTTTATCAATTTCCTGCTGCTCTGTAGCAGAGGGGGAGGAAACGCCGCAGCGCGGAATGAATTGGCAGTTGATCTGTCAGCACTATCCTTATCTTCAGGGCAGATGTTTTTATTTTATTTGGCTTATAATTCCTTACTAAATGTAGTATTTCATCTCGATGTACTCCATATTTGATATGATTTAAATCAAGTTCCTCATCATTATAATTCGCTTCTGATAGTGAAGAAACTGATAGAGAGGTTATTGAAAACGAAAAAATTTCGATTGACAAATTAGTTGGTATTCTCGACACAGCAATTACAGGACTTGAACAGCAGAACTTTGTAACTAAACAAGAAATTAATTTAAGAGAATTAAAGAGAAAGTATTGTCACATGAAATGAAGCAATTTAAACAACTTACATTGAAAGAAATGTTTAATAAAGTAAACAAATAAATATTAAGCTTTTTCTTTTTGTACATTTTGATACCCTTTAGATCATAATTGTTCTTTATTTCATAAATTACAGTTTCATATTTTTAATTTTGTAATTTCTGCATGCCATCTTACCAGATTTAAACTTATGATCTATAATCCTGAAAAATCGATAATCCGGAATCGCCGAAGTCCTGATTAACGACTTTTGAATGTACTGCATTTTGGAGAACATTTATACAGACACATACAATATAATCGCTACAGTAGGGAACAGCAGTTATTTGTAAGTTTTCTTGCAAAAATTAATTATTATATATGGATGATGTAATTGCCATTTAAGCATAACTTTCTGTTAACAAGTTCCAATGACCAGCATGGGTGAAAATTTAGGTGGAGACTTTGCTGTTCATTGCTTTCATCCTATTTCTTTAAAAGTGTTTTCGCATGTTACTTTTTTATATTGCACTTACTGCTTAAAAAAATCATATGTTTAAAAAATATTATTTATTCTTAAAAGCATATCAAATAATTTTTGTGTATTTTTCCCTTATATTTATTATCTATGATATCTTTCATGCTTTATTATCAATAAAAAAAACTACAAATTTTATTATTTAAAAAAACTACAAAATTTATTGCTAAATTTCTGTAATCAATGAAATTGTAACTATGCCAGTCATTTAAGGATACATGTTTGGCTATCGACCCCTTGGTCATCATAGATCTCCATTAAAATTCTAACGATTTCCAATGGATCTATACCGATTTCATTGGGAGCTGCTACTGTAGAGCATAATATTTGAAATTGAAATTAAAATCTATTTCAAATATTATGTTACTAAAAGCAATGCCACATTTGTGTAACAAGTCTATATTTCATTTAGACAAATTTAAAAAAAAATTCTTCAAAAGTTACCAAGTTTATAAAAATAACATACATGAGCATTTGTAGCATAGATTTCCGCAGTAGCATGTATTATATCTAAAATTTTCCAGTGATGAATAATTTCTATAAAATCCATCCAGTTACACTTAGAATCATCAGAGACTTCTGTCCAGAGTTGAAATGCTCGTTCTAAGCTCTTCACCATCTCATTCTCAACAGGCAAAGTAAGATAAGGAAATGCTGGTTTTATATCACAAAAGTCATTTTCCTCAATATCATCATCATCATTTTTATTAACAGTAACTTCCCTTGCAGCTGGTTTCATTGCACTATTCACTTCTTCCTAAATAATAAAAGAAATACATTTTATTGCAAAAAACAAATAAAAAATTTTTCAAAAAAGTTGAAAATATGTATATAAGATAATTTTAAATAATAGCACCTACAGTATCCAAATAAACATTTTTTTCCTTGTCTGAAATATTACACGAAACTAAATAAATTACCATTAAAATAAATAAACCTACCTAAAGAATTGTGGTTAATTAATTTTAATTAAATGAGCCTAATATTTCCTCATTGTTTTAAGATACAGTAGTCATTCCATTAATTTTATCAAACATGTTTTGAAATATGATGCCGTCTTTATAGTTGTATACCAGCATGAGATCCTTCATTTTCAAGGTATATACTGTATTTCGTTAGTTACAAGACATAATCCCCCCCAAATTTCAAAAAATAGGGATGTTTAAAAACTGTAATTCCTCACCACCAATCAATTTTTAGAGATGCTTATATATGAAAAAAGTACCCTTTGTTACAGAAAAAGGTATAATTAGTTCAAACCTTTAAATTTTGGACTAACACATGAATCAATCTCATAAGTTATCCGCCGCCAGTAGAAATATTATAGCTTAAAAAATGAATTACAGAGAGAAGCTTAATGTTTCACATTTGAAATGAATTATATAGAACAAAACACAGAGATCCATCCAGAAAAACAGATTTATATTGGGAACTAGAAGACTCATTTTATAACTTCTTTTTCAATGGCAGATACAGTCATTTCAGGCTGTGGCTACTACATGACCAGAAGCAGTGATCACCTAATAGATGACCACCATTACCTCCTGAGAGACAATTTACATCCATGCCTTCTTCAGGGTAAAAACATGGGCACTTTGCAATGGCAGTCAGAGTCACTAACCTTTTTCTAATCTGGGCAGCCATTTTATAAACTATTAATCTAGTCACAAAAGTATTCCTCAGAACTAATGTTTTGTCTGACTTATGAAATAACATTATGCATTTCTATTCTTTTTAATAAATTCAATCTTTATATCCTTTTCAGTGTTTTCTTTTGAATACTGAAATGACTCCACACCTTCAAACTATTGTCTATGGAAGGAGTAAGTCTAGAGATATAAGTCTATAGAAGGAGAAGACAGCACTCCAAAACTGAAGAAGGCAAATTATTATTTATGCAGATATCGAGGAAAAGGAGAGAGACTGCAATTATGGAAATTGTTTCCTCCAAAAAATTATTAAACAAACAAACCTGGAATCATCCTGTAGATGCAGAATTTAGTAGCACAGTGTGATGAAATAACCAGAACTCTGATATTTTTCATGTGCAAAGAGATTCTCAACATTTGGCCCTTTTGCTAAGGTAAAAAATTTAAGTTTCTTAACTACATCAAAAGAAAATGGAAGAGACTATGTTTGGCCATGAACAAAAATTATGATGGTTGTATGCTGAATGAAGTGGAATTTTTCGAAAAGCACTTGCAAAAATATGTAACTTAAACAATATAAATACGTAACTCAAAATATGCCCTTTATAAATTCCAGGAAGTGAAATTTTGAAAGATAAAAAAGTTGTAGCAGTTTGGCTAGAAAAAAAAAAAAAAAATATCCCCGCAAGAGAGACTTTTATTTTCTTTCTCACAGAGGTAGACGTGAGAGATTTTGCTGGTCATAGAAATTCAAGTTTTGGCATGGTATGAAATTCTTCACGTGGAAGGTGCAGACATTACATAAAGTCTATCCTTAATTAATAGAAGTCTCAGTCTTCTGTATATTTGCTATAAGTCCCCCCCCATGTCAAGAACATGGAGGTAGGAAGTTAGATGGAGTGGCCTAAACCAGTTTTCCCATACCCTGCTTTGAAGCACTGGCGATCCCTTCTTTGGTGACCAAAACATTGGGTAATTTACCATTGAGTTCAATGGGTTTTGACATGATCGAATGTAAATATTTTGTAATTATGTCATAAATATGCATATAAATGTATATATTTTCTTTTTCTACAATACTTCAAAGGCCTAAGTATATGAAAAGAATACATTTTTCAACAACATTTCATTCTGAACAGAATTAAATGGTATACTTTTCACAGAACAGTTTGCTCAACATGGTTTAATTTGAAATATTTTCACAAGTATTCGTTAATTACATAAGAAAAAAAATTTAAGGCAATTCGATTTTTGATACGGTTAAAGATTACAAAAATTAAGATCAAAGTTTATTGTATTATTAAAATTATGCATTATTTCTTTCCTATTTACAGAGCTTCTTCCTGAAATACTTTCTCAAATATGACATAATTTTTTAGCTTCTGAGGCATTTTCTAAATCGAAAAATGTAAGTCAATTTATGATTAATGTTCTATTCGGTCCATTTAAATTAGAGCACCTTTTAATTTAATAGTGAAATACTTTAAATAGTACTTAACTTTCTCTGAATATTTCTGAAAAGGAATAAAATAAAGATTATTTTTTAAATATTATTTAAAACTCGTAACTGACTTATATAAGGGAAATATATGACTGATAAGGGGAATAATTCTTTTAATTATACTTATTAGATTTTTTTACTCTTAATTTCAACAATGCATATTCCAAAACTCTTCTTTATTACTTTCTTAAGTATGCATCTCACAGAAATTGCTTTACAATACCTTTTAACAAATTGCTTTCCAGTACGAAAAATTTTTGCTTAAATATTTTTATAACATATTTGTCAACAGGATGTCAATTTATGTTTACAATTCAATGTTAAAGTTATATTTAGATATTATAATCATTATAAATTTAGATGCATTTAATAATTAGATTTCTTCACAGTAACTTTCAGAGTTATTTATGAATGAATAAATCCTTCATTTCAAATACATTTATAAATAATTAAATAAATATTTAAGTATTTTGTTAAAGGCAGATACATGCTTTTTGGAAGCACATGCATAAATACCGATAGATATTTCATATCTTTCATTTCCTTGGAAATCTTTAATTTCTGTGCATTCACTATATTTTTCGAGTAAAGTAATTTACACTAATTTTAAAAAGTACATGTTACAATAATATGTGGATGTAAAAAAAAAATTATTTTATTTAAAACATTTTGGCGTTTGAAACATAAAATAAAAGTAGTGAATACTCTATCAAGGGTATCGAAAAATGTATACAATTTTAAAGGTACGGTGAGGTATTTTTCATTCTTTAAGCATAACTTTTTTGCTAAAATCTATATTTTTGTAGTTCAACAGCTTAGAATTTTATAAAACAAATTCATAATGAAAATCGCTGTTGTTAGTTATCGAAAAATAACCAAGTTGTGATTTTTGCGTAAATGTCGCTAAACTATACAAATTGCTATTATCCATCATACTAGGAATGTTTCTTTTATGCAGAAGTGTTCCGTTTTTCGATTTGTATAGAACTGTCAAGTGTCGAAATACTATCAAGAGCACTGTCAAGCGAGCTTTTGAATGTAAACAAAAAAACACCCCAATCTGGTGACTGAAGCTTCAAAGCAGTGCTTCACTTCTAGTACCGGTTTGGCCACTCCTTCCTTTCTTACCTCCATGGTCAAGAAGGAGAGATTTCCTTCCTCTGTTTTTTTGTTTTAAATCAAAGTTTTACCAAACAAAATACTTGTATTTAAAGTTGGTATTCAGTAGTGAGAAAAGAGCAATATGAAGAACAGAAATATGATTTGAAGCTAAAAGAACAAGCTCAGGGAAGTTTCACTTTTATTTAAAAATAATAAGCTTTAAATACATACTGATACTTCTTTCGGTACCACATTTACTAAAAAAAGAAAGGCTTACTTTCTTTTGATATATTTTCGTTTTAAATTTTAGTAATGTCTTATAAATGGGTATTATGATACCGTCTTATAAATGGGTATATGATAAACAAAATTGCAGTTTGAAAGGAAAGCAGTTATATATGATGCTGCAGCAATACACCTGTATCAACTGGTACAAAGTCCAAAATTCGGACATCGATTATCTGGAATGATATAAAATCCGAACCTCAAAATCCCGACCGCCCCCCCCCCGTTACATATGCGCATTTGATTCTCTCCTCCGTGCATAATAAAACATCTGGAGAGTCCCGAGTCTTAATTTCACTTCGACACTAAAATAAAATGCCTTGTTATTGAAGAAACAATAATTTTAGCATAAATTTGTACAATCAGTAATTTGGCTCCGTTGCTGTGTATCTGCTTTGGCACACATCTCAAACCGAAACATTCCACATAGATACATCGTTGATCTAACGGCAACCTGGTGAATCATCATTTATTATATTTTCCTTTTATCACCGCATGCTTGTCAAAACATGACAACTGGAGTAATGACTCATGTAGCGATGAAAATTTTTTTTATGTTAGTAATTGAGTAATAAATGAGTATGGTAACATTTTATGTTGATATTACGCTTGGCGATGATTACAGATTTAAATTAAATGCACTAAAAATATTGATGAGGAAAAATTTAACAAAAATTTCTTCCCATATGTTAAAAATAGATTTTGTTAGTGATACTTAAAAGCTAAAAGATTATAATTTACAGGTATTTGAATTAAGAATAATTGATCTGTTAATGATACCCATAGACCCAAAGATTACATTTAGTATATGTGGGAATTTATTTATTTGAACTCTGATAAGCCTTAAGCATGTGCAAGAAATAGACATAAGTCCAATAAATAACTAAACTAATACAATTCAGGCTTAATTGTCTCAGTGCGCAATTGAAGCAAGATCAAATTTAACAGAACAACCTGTCGTTAGTCGCCAAACTCATGATACATAGCCAAATATGTATAGTGAAGGACAGCTAAATTTGATGATGATAGCATTAATTTTAAAGGTTTTCCAATATTGCAAAACAAAGGTGAAATTTCCCAATGATGGATTTTGTGGTTAGATCCTAGCAGAGTCCAAACCCTTGGTGAGCCCACTTGTATGGCGCATAGCGATGTGTCTATGGACAAAGGGAGTGTGCAATGCCAAGTTTGTGCAATTGTCCGATTTTTTTAAGCGAAAATAACTCTATGTGTACATGGATACCAAGTTTGTGCAATTCTTTGACTTGTTATTTTCAAGTTGGCAAATTTGAGAAACGCACAAAGCAGTGGGTGATTCTGCACTTTCCCTGTTTGTTGCCAAGGGTGTGGGCTCTCCTAGAATTTTACAGATTTTGTAAAGAAATGTGGCGAAGCGGTAATAAATGAAGATGATATAAAAGGAAGTTTTTCATTGTGATGACAATGCTTCTGAATCATAAATCATTAATGAATGGCAAAATCTGTAGTATGGTTCTAGATCCAGAAAATGCCGCTACCGATAGTCAAGAAAGTGATAGAGAAGTTACTGAAAACAAGAAAATTTCGATTGACAAGTTAGTCGGAATTCTTGAAACAGCGGTTCCAAGACTTCAACAATGTAACTTCAAAAAGAGATTATGTCTGTCTACAGGAATTAAAGAAGAAAGTATTAGCACAAAAAACATGAAGCAACTTAAACGATTTACATTGACATTGAACGAAATGCTTTAATAAAGGTAAACAAATAAATATTAAGCTTTGTTTTGTAATTTTGATACCCTTTAGATCATAAATACTTTCATTATTTTATAAATCACGATTTCATATTTTTAATTTTATAATTTCTACATGCCATCTTACTAGATTTAAACTGATGATCTAATATCCGGAAAAATACCAAATCCAGAATCAGCGAAGCCCCCACAAGTCCGGATTTCGGACTTTGTACTGTATTTCACAAGACTTACTGTAAATGTGTTAAACTTCGGATAATAATGAATACTTTAAAAAACAGGTGTTCATATCATTACACATAAATAGAATCAAGTATAATTGATAAATTAATCACTAAAAGGCATTACCCAACATTTCATTAAATATAGTATACACTATGTTATGTTACATACTCTACAAAATAAAGTAATACAAAATATACAGTATACTGCTCTAATACATATAAAAGTAAAAGATTAAAACATTTTACCCTGAACTTCAAGCTATGAATGTGAAATAATGAAATGTAATTCTGTATAATTCACTACTTTGGATAACATAAATGAAATAGTTCATTTTTCTAGAACTAATAGCATATGCCTAGTTTCTAAGATCCTTTGTTATGTTCAGGGGTGGGGGGGCATTATGAGTAAAAGCTGCAATAACATTAAACTAATGAGAATAAGAAGAATGCTAGGAATAAAGTGGAGTCAAATTTATGATTGTTTGTTTAATCAATGATGCTAAGTATTTAAGGGTTGTTCAGGGTTCATAGCCACATTTTAGTTAAAAAAATAAGCACCTATAAGCACTTTTCAGGCACATTTTAAGAAAAAAAAATAAGCACCTGTCTAATTACATTATACAAAATTGCATAACTTCAAAAATTAGACTCGTAATTTAAAATATGAGAAATGCAGTATTTATTAAGAGAGAATAAGCATGGAACCTCAACCATGGAAAATAATTACTTTTTTTTTAAATTTTAAATAACAGTTCAATTTACAGAACTAGTTTACAATGAGAGAAAAAAAAAAACTATGCACAACTAAACTATATTACAAGATTAATTGATGAAATTTCAGTTCAAAATAGAGGAAATAAATAATAATAAGGCATATTTATTCTATTCGCTTGAAACTTAATAATAAATGCAATTTATTTTTCCACTCATATTGATATTTAAATAATTTAAATCTAAATTCTGAACGTTTTCTAAATTTTCATCGTATATCAGTTTTCTCTTAACAGATATTGCGAGCAAAGTAATTTAAGTAAAAAAGAGGAACATTTCTGAAATCAGAAGACAGAAATTTGCTTCATGCAGTCATCCTTTAACAGTAAAAGCTTAACTACCCGCATACATTCATTGGCGAACATTCGGACAGTCGAGCGTAACTTCAAAAAGAGGAGCGGACGGGATGATAGACTGTAGCCGTTCTTTAGATTTTTCCGCTAAATAAATGCTTTTGACGTTTCGATATGTGCATCATATAAAACAAACCAACGGAGCAGAGAAATATTCTGCTTAGCAAAAACTCTTTTAGTGTTCATAAACAAATCTCGGACCGAACATCAAAATTAATTATCTCTGCAAAATATCACAAACGTTATTGTGCAATATGTGCGGCGTAATTCTTCCCTACATGATATTATGCAATCGGATTCAACAGCTGCCTATATTGGGAGAATAAAGAACTAAATAAAGGAAAAGAAAGGGACTTGGGGTTTTTTTCATTCTAATTTTCAACAGACTGCGTTAAATTTCCGGAATAGAATCATTCTTCGCTTGGGTTGGTAGACCGCAGAACTTTTAGTCCTATTCAATCCAGATTGGAAAGTGACAAAAAAAAAAAAAAAAAAAAATCCATTGCTTGTTTTACAACGAACTGTAACAGTTTCAATATTCGAGATTTTGCGGAGAAAAGGCAGAACCTCCCAACGTTCGTACTGTATAATGTATTGGCCAAAAAAATGGACTATTCGATTACTTTCCCTTTATTTACGCCATTCCGAATATTATTAATTAGAAAGCTAATCTGTGTTAAAACACAACCATTTTTAGAAGTTTACTATACTTCAGCAGTTACTGCAACTATGTTATTATAAACATTCATACATATGCTCATAATATAAGCATAACGACCATAATAAACACGAATATGAACTGACCAAGCGGAACGAGAATGCAAATTATTAAGATCTTGATAGAAATTCAAACGTGTGTAGTATGTGGGTGGGAGGAAAAGAATGCCAAATGTATCGTAATTTTCTACTGCTTTCACAATTCTTTGACCAACAGAATGATGGGCACCTGCCTGTACCAAAGAACAATACATATTCTTTGCCTGTACTCTCCGTGCATACCAGAGGTTATGTTAATGCAGAGAAGGGGGGAAAAGCTATTTCCGGGAGTACGATTCACCATCTGACATTCCATATTAGGAAGAAATGTTGTTTATTTAGTTTTGGCTTTGGTACGGGGAATAATTGCGCTTTCATTTAAAAAAAAAAGCACTAAAAGCAAAAAATATACAAAAAAAAAAAAAAAAAAAAGGCCTTTAAAGAAAAAAGTAAGCACCTATAAGGGCCTTTATATTTTATTTTCAAATATAAGGACTTATAAGCACTTATAAGGACTGCTACGAACCCTGGTTGTTTCATTGAGATGTGCCTTCAAGGAGGGCTTTCAGAGAGCAACTAGTCAGTATTTGCGTTACTTGTACAGAAAACCATGAAAATTCACATACATCCAAGCTGTTTGCTGAGGTAGATTAAATTGCCAATGCTTAGCAAGCTTAATGAATTTCACTACTGGTGGGCTTGCAATCAAATTTAACAGTTTGAAAAGAGTATGGCAAGCGCATGCTTACTTCGGAAAACAGAATCAGAAATATGCGTGTGCTATATTTCATTACCTTGCACACCATTGTCACTTGTCAAATATATAAATCAATAAGCCTACTTACAAGCAGTCATCTTCCCTTTTTCTGATTGAAAATTCATGAGGATTGCTTTAAGAAGAGATTCAAAGCAATTGTTTCCTCAGTGATTTTTGTTATAAAATACTGTAATTCTGCAGAAATTTTACTGCAGTTTCCTTCAATGCAAACAAATCCCACAAACACATGTTTAAAATTATGTTTCAGATTTTAAAAAAAAAAAATAAAATCCTGATAGGTTTATAAAAACTGTTGGGGTTAGGAATGCAAAAATAAAAGAACACGCATGAAAATGGCAACGTAAACTGAAGACCTGTTATGTACATGTTTGGCAGAAAAATCTGTCTTGGAACAGGCAAGAATTTTACTGAAGAAATTAGAAATTTCAAATTCATGAAATTCCTAAATTTCAGAACTTTCTGACTCTAGATGAGAATATATAAACATACATGAAAGAAATATCCAATGCTGAAATTATTGGACATTTTTTCCAGATGTGCTGAATGTGAATTTTTTAATTTGAATACATATATGTCTTATTTTGTAAAAACTTCTTCAATGTAATGAGTTTCCGTTGGCATTCTTAAGATCTCATTACAAATGGGTTCAACTGTATGAGATATACAATGCTACAAAAGAGGATTAGTAATTTAATTCAACTTGCTTAAGAATATATAATTAAATATTGCATCTTTTGACAAGAGAAAGAGCTATTTTACATACAAATATTAGGAGGAATATTAGATATTAAGTATTGGGAAATAAAATGCTTGCAAATAAACAGTTATTAATATTTCACAGACTATTTGCTCAACATTGTCATTATTTTAAAACAATAAAACTTACTTCAGCAACTTTATGTAACTTTTCAAATATTAAATGATATAGCCAGAAATATCCAACAGACAGCTGCAATTTAGCTTCATTGTCAGCAGGATTTTCTAAAATGCGAGACTCGAGAAGCTGAATACTTTCGTCACAAATTTCTAAACTAGATCTAAAACAGATTTCAAACAAAATCTTTGTAATGCTTAAGTTATATTACACAGATCAAAATTACATTTACAATAATTAATCAACTTTCAATTCACTTACAGAAAAGGATCAGGAAACAGACATTTGAAACAAATACAAGTGTTTCAAATGTCTTCAGAAACTAAAAATAAATAGAGAAGTAGCAATGAATAAGTAGAAGCATTGCAGTTTTAAATCTGGGTTAAAATCTTTTTGTTGAACCATGCATTAATGTGTTGGAATTTAGCTTATTTTTAATCCTATTCCTGGCATTTTTGCCATCAATTGATGACCAACCCAGCAGAAAGTTGAAAAAGTAAAAGAGTGATTAAAATTAGAATCAGCTTTTAAGAAATTGTTAAAAATATTGAAATCTAGGACAGTCATTGAGTTGGTCTTGATCCATATAACCAGCTGACATGAAGAAGAAATAGCAATATCTAAGACCTATATAATTTAAATGCCTTTTGTGTGCCAGTAATTAATCTAAAAGAAGCGACTTCTACAGCCCTGGGCAAAGAGATGATGATGTATTTATTTTTGTCAAATAATATGTGCTGGGCATTGTCTACAGTTGATACTAATGCATCAATCATCAGCTTTTCTTATTTTAGAGAAAACAACTGCTTGATGATTAACAACTGCGGTAAGGATGGATCAGTTTGAGGCATTTGAGATTCTATCTTAAACAGATATCCGCCTACTGATTTCCAAAAATGTTACAGTGGTTCAGAATGCATTGCAGTACTGCATTTTCTACAGACATCTTAAAACAATATAATTTCCTTTCACAAAAATGGATCACTGAGTTAGCATTATAATCACGAGTAGTAAGAGACATACTAGCAACCTTAGAATCTATAAAAATATATTACATTCAATACTAATCGTAATTTTATTAATAGGAAGTCAGATAGCAATTACCTGTCAAAATTACTGCAATATTTACCAAAGGGATAGCAAGTATTTTTGTCGGTATTTTCAATAAAGCCATCTTTGTACACATTAAGATGCGAAATCTGTCAAAACAGCATTATTTAATTCAGATTGCAGGGAATGTTGCTTGTTTTTTCAACAAAAAAACAAAAAACAAAAAAAACAAAAAACAAAAAAAAGGGCCAGCATTTCTCCTCGAATCCTAGTTCTTCAACAGGATTCTATGTTCCCAGGAAAATTAGGCAATCAGAAGTAGATGTCATAAGTATTTTATTCCTTAAGGAAGGAAGTATCTAAGTTTTTCACTTTTCAGACTTGTCTGTAAGTAGCTAGATAATGGTACAACATTCGCTACATTTCACAAATATTTAAGAAACACAGATGATTTTTCTAAAAAAAAAAAAAAATGCATAATAAAAATGTAGCTGCTTACTTCATTAATAAATCACAAATATTTTGACAGACAGTTGTAGGCATAGTTATAATTTCTAGTAATATATCTGCTTTGGTTATCTTTGGCTTGGTTTAAATTTTCAAGTATCGGAAAAAGTCGCTGCAATAATTTAAAAAATGACTCTGTGAAAACAACGGCTTTCAAAAGAAAATTCTAAATCTTTTAAAACATTACATAAATTTATTGAAACCCATTCAAACTGCGATGAAAAAAATTTACAGAGCTTTTTAGAAAAATTCTTAATTTTTTTTGGTGAATATGTTATAAATTTTCAGTGCTGTTTAAAAACAGCAATGCAGCACTTTTTAAAAACCTTATGTATCATCTGGTGCAGTTGTTATTTTTATATTTTTCCAGTCATTGCCGTTTTGCTTTTTTATGTGAAAATTTAAAATACAAGACTGTATTTTCAATCAGTAAATTAATTTTGCAAAATCATTTTAGTAGCTGTGCTTGAAATGAAAAGAAGAAAAGATCGAACTTTTGAATAAGTATGCATGCTTCTTTTGCGTATCTTGGGATTATAAAACGATTCAAGCAATAATATTTTTAAGGTCAAAAATGCAAAACCTTCAATA